TATGTAAGGCTAAGATTTAATAGCTAAAGGCTGAATGGTGAAGATTAGAAGTTAGGTGGCTCCTAGGGTTAGAATGCTAAAAAGAGAGTGCCCTAGAATGGATRGTRGAKATTAGAARGGATGRAARGTGAKGATTTAGCAGTTAGGGGTGGCTAGGGTTTGTTAAGAGTGAAAAGAATGGGTTAAAAGGCACCCTAGGGTTTGCTAAGGCGTGGGGAGTATACTAATACAGTAGGAGGGGCGCCAAACTAGGTTTAGCAGATAGGAGGTGCCCTCCTGCTTTCAATTTTTTTTCACAAAAACACCCCCTTTCTCAGCTGGACTTCACACTAGTTTCCCAAAATCTGCATTTAAGCCATGAAAACTTTCCAATTTTCTCCAAAATTTGCACGAGACCCTTAGAAGCCACAACATTGCATTTAACTGGGAAAATGGCACATCTTGACTATTCTAAGGCCGAAAATACTCCTGAATTGATGCCCTTAAGATATCAAAATGTAGAGTTATCACACCCCCAACTTAAACATTGCTAGTCCCTTAGCAATGCAGCCTTGAAATTACACCGAGTATATAGATCTTTCTCATTACAAGGTCATCCCTAATAGAATTAATCAAGCATCCTGATTCCAGCATTCTCAAACTCTGTATAGATCGGTATTGGGCTTTAGGGGTAAAACTGTCTTATTTTGAATATTTTCGAAACATGGCTTAAAAATCTTATTTACCCTTCCATTTGTAAACTGTCTTGATAAGATGAGATTGATTTTAAAATCAAACAGGTATTCTTCTTATCATTTTTTATAGCGGATTTCTACCCCTAAATTTGATATGCATACTTATTTTTATTGCAACCTTTCACCGTTTTACGCGAATATGCGATACTTGACTTAGGTGAAGAGACTTGGTTACTAAGTGTTAGGTAAGTGTCTTTGGCATTCCCTTTTCCTTTTGACATGAATCTCGACACTTGACTTAGGTGAAGAGACCCGATTACTAAGTCTAGGGTGTCCATTGACCTTTTATTCTCTCTCTCTCTTTCTCTCTCTCTCTCTCTCTCTCTCTCTCTCTCTCTCTCTTTTGCAGAAGCACAGTTCAGGGTAATTCACTGTTTCTAACAATTTTGAAGAATTTTTTTGTCTAATTTCTCAATCTCTCTCTTCTTATCTTGGCAGGGGCAAACTTGGGAGTATTTTCTAATTTCTAAACGGTTTCGACAATATTCAAACAAGACCAATATTTGACTCCTATCACTTGCTA